GCCCGTCCCACTGATCAAGGCACAGGTACGAAATGATTGGTCCATCATTTCTTGCCTTCCCATGTGCGTTTTCCCAATCGATTCCTGGGCCCGAGGTCGCAAAAATTACGACGTCGGAGGTCTGGGGAGGCGGGAAGCACGACCTGGACCTCCGACGTCTTGGAAAAATCACGACGGCGGTTTTTGTTAATTTTCGGCCTCCGGGGCCCCTCGCAGGGTCCCGGGACCGTCAGAAAACGACTCAGGATGAAAAAAAAAACACATCCCCAGGAAGTCGTCGAGAGGTCCAGGGGCCGCGCACAGAAAACATCACGACATCGGACGTCCAGAGAGGAGGTAGGAACACGAGGAGGAGGGAGCCCAGACCTCCTGGCGACGCAACACCAAAGACAACAAAAGCTTCCCCGCGACTTCCCCCAGAGACTCTAACTACAGAAACTCCTTTCGTATTCCGGCCAGAAGCATCCAGAAACGATGTACATTAGCCCTGGCGGGGAGAATGGCGATGGTGATGTTCTGATGACCACGGTGAACGAATCCTAGTATAACCTAGCGCGCGCGTGTTCTATCTATATATTATTATATTATATATCTATATATATATCAATATTGTCTCGCGGTACTTTGAACTCCAGCACTTCCGCGGCAGTGCGCAGGCCAGGAGGAAATTTGCGATCGACTTGCGTTTCTGCGGCTGGTGCGACAGAGCCATCCTTAGGGAACAAGTGTGGCGGCGTTTCAGTGAACAGCAGATCGTTCGGGATGACCTTTGCCTTCTCCAATTTTGGCGTCTTGCTCTTGCTCATCTTCGACAACGGGGGTGGCGTGCGGACTCATCGAGGATGCCGCAGTCAGAGAATGACGACTACTTGCGGCAGCTCGCCGTGGCGCCATTGGTGACGCCGCCGTCAATCTCGCCTCAGCTCTTACTTCTGCCACGCCTGCTGGCTGATCAGTCTCTCGATCAACTGCCTATGGCGCCGCCGACCCCACCGACGCTGACATGGCGATGATGGCAGAAGGCGAACTGCGCATCTTGTCTTCTAGCGCTGACTCCTACGAGCCCATTTCTGACGCGGACATGGACAACGACGAGTACTCTTACCACTTCGGACTCATCCCCACCGACGAAGAAGTCGAGGCACATGTGCAGCGGGCCATTCGACGCTCACGCGAGCTTCCCGAGGATGCAGAGGTCGACCCGGCTGCCAGCTCATCACGCGTGCCACAGGTGTTCCCTGCGCCTGCTCTTGCGAACGCGCAGCCTGAGTAAAACTCAAGTGGGGACAACGATGAGTTCGACCTACTGATTGCCAGGCACGGATTTCGTGTCATCTACCCCGACGGCTCCGTCGGTGGTGCAGCGGCAATCACTGCTCGCCAGGAGCCCGCTCCCGACCTTATTGGACGCGCAGCTCTTGACGGGCCACTTGATGGTGAGGCCCCACCTGCTCCACCTATTCCACCAGTGGATTCTGCGCCACCCTCGCGTGGAACTCCGCCTGAAGATCGGCCCCCACCTGCTCATCATGAATCGGAATCAGAACCACCACTTCCTGCCCCTCTCGCTGGGCACGCTCGGGATGCGTTGGGTGCCGACGCTGCTACCACTGGGCGTGCGGTGTTGGGCCCCGCTGCTGCTGGCACTGGGTATGCGGGTGATGAAACAACACCTCAATGTGCCTTGTCCTTCGGCCCTGCTGACCAGATCCTGACCTCTCTCAAGGCCAGTAGCTACGACATCCACGAGGCCATCGGCTCGCTGGGTTTCCATGCTGATGGGCCTCGCGGATCTGCCGCGCTCACATCTACGCAAAGGGGCGCCGTCATCGACCACCTCGACGCGAACCGTCCGCATTCCGATTACCACCGCGAGCTTGTTGCCTGGTTGCTCACGCATCCTGAAGCACTTCTTCGCGCTGCTGATGCTCGTGATGATGAGGGGGGAATGGCCGGCGCTCATGAAGGGCATGGTGGAGGGGTGGGGCTTGCTGTGAACGCACTGCCGCATCGCGAACCTGCTCCTTGCGCTCAACCGAACACGTCTCATGTACTACAGACGGCGAATGGATCATGCGGCCATTGACGTGATGTCAGGTCGCATACTTTTCTCGCCCGATAAGTTGCGCTCGAGGCCCTAGCTCAAGGCGTTGATCCGCGCCCGGCCCCTGTGACAGCTAGCGCCTTGGCATCGGCATTCGCAGGGGCTTCTGCTCATCATGACGAGATCTCCGAACAACAGATCGGGTGTGCAAAGCGTGCCCTGGACATCTTGTACCCAGTGATCTCTGCGGACAAGACGGAGATGATTCGATGGGTGCGACGCCACCCTGCGCGCCTCCTGGGTGCAGACGATGAGCTGCCATCTGACGCGGAACGGGAGCTTCTCCTTGCAGCCTGGCGTTCAGGAACTTCTGGATGATGGGCCTGTCTTCCTCGAGCCCCCCGCGGACAAGGACGCGACGCTGCGCGACATGGAGGAAGAGGACGCCCCTGCATTCGGCAGCCGGGTGCTCGCTGACGCCTCGCTCCAGTCGGGCGTTCTGCTTCTTCCTGCCAAAGGTCTTGCTGGTGCCTCCGTGGCTGGCGAGGGCGCCTTCCCAGGCCGCGCGCCCTATGACCCCGTGGCGCATGTGGCGTTCGGCGATGCCGACGACGCTCCTCCTCTTTCTGCTGCCTTCCCCGACCACGACCCCGTTGACAGCGTCGTCGGCGAAGGGGCGTGCCCATGATGAACTACGACGGCGCTGTTATTGCGGATTCTGAGTTTGTCGGGGACGCCTTTCTCGTCCGCGCCCAGAGCTGTTTCGAGCAGTTCGACAACGCTGCCGACAGCTCGGTCGGCCTTCTCGCCGACGCCAGCGGCTCCCTGGACCACTTCAACTTGGCGGCTGAGAGGCTCGGCACAGGCGCGCCCGCGGCGTCCATGGGCGGGGATGGACCATCGTCAGGGACGCTCGCTCCTCCTCCTCCTCCTCCTCCTCTTCCTCCTCCTCCTCCTCCTCCTCTTCCTCCTCCTCCTCCTCCTCCTCCTCCTCCTCCTCCTCCTCCTCCTCCTCCTCCCCCTCCTCTCTCTCCTCCTCCTATTTCCCCATCCATCCTTCCCTCCTTCCGCCCCTCCCTCCCTCCCGTCCACCCTTCCCCCCTTCCCCGATTCCTCCCTCCATCCCCCCCCCTTCCCTGTCCAGCTCTCCCGTCGCCTTTTTGGGGCTCAAGGCTCGGGCTCAAACGGCACATGCATTTCATTGTGCCGCTTGAGTTGCTAAGCGATTCGCTGGGTAACCACGCTCAGACTCAACTCGTCTTGCTCCTTCATCCGTAACCCACACTATTCCCTTTTCGCGCTTCAACGACAAGCCCACTCCCCCATGCCGAACAAACCTCCAGTGCCAAACAGCTCCTCTTCATCGAGCATCGGGTACCATGCGCCAGTCAACATGCTCGGCCGAGCCGCTGCGGTAGGGCCCAAGGCGGAACGGATCGCCGTTTACACATACGGACAAAATCGACACGGTCGTGTACCTCCTCCTCCTCCTCCTTCTCCGCCTCCTCCTCCTCCTCCTCCTCCTTTCCTGCTGTCCTCCTCCTCCTCCTCGTCCAGCTGCTCCATCTCCTCCTCCTCCTCCTCCTCCTCCTCCTCCTCTCCCTTTTTCCTCCTCTCCCTTTTCCTCCTCCTCCTTCGCCTTTTTGCCTCCTCACGGAATGCCTGCGTGTCAGCCAACGCGCCCAGAGAATTTTCATCCACGTGGTGCTCGTCGAGGCCCGGGGGACAGACGCCCGGGTTCGTTCCCGAGCACGGCTGCTGGAGAGGATGACAGGACATGTTAGTGCTACGATTGCCCCTCCCCGCCTCTTCCCTGTGCCCTCCCGTCCGCCTGCAGGCCCCCCCCCCGCGCCGGGGGGAGGTTGCCACGCACACGGGGGGAGATGGCGAGATTGGCGGCGGAAAGGGAGGGTGGAGGCAGGGGGGGAGAGGAAAAGAGAGGCAGGCGATCGCAAACATGGATCAAGGGGGGTTTGATTAGCGACGCGTCCCGTTTTCATGGGAAATCGAGGAATTCCGCCGCCGAGCGAGGCGGCACCAGCCGCATTTTTGGGAGGTATCGCTAATCCATGTTTGCGCGCCCCCGACAGAGGAGGGACAAGGAAAAACGAGGAGGAAGAGGACGAGGCACAGGACGAGGAAAAGGAGAAGGAGGGCCAGTGCAGACCCAAGACGCCTCAACGATGTTGCGATAAACCCTCCTTCCGAAGTCCCTCATGGGTCCGTAGAAGAATTTGCTCTCATTGCAGGAAGTGGCCAATTGAAAAACAGCCGTCCGAACCATGCGAACACTGAAGGATTTCACCCCCCAGACTACGAAATACGATCATGATTCGCGCCAGAACACAATTTCTGGGACTGCTGCGTCCTGACATCCTCAAATGTGCCAGGACGCCGTTCCCAGGAGTTCAAACATACGAGTCATTCAAGCTGCTGCAAGCTTCTAAGGCGACTGCGCGCGGCGCCAAGGCCAGAGCCACATTTTTGAGCAGGAATCAACCTCTATCGTTTCAATGATTGCCGACGTGTAAGACGAATGTGCGCAGTGCTGATGCGAGATCTCTATTGTGACAACGCTCCGCCCACCATCCTTGAAATTACGGTCAACTTTTAAGACACACGCGTGGTGCTAAGGCGAGAGCTCCTTTTTGAAAATTGCCTGCCTTCCATCTTTAACATTGCTATAACTTCCAAGTTTGCGTCCAGGGGCTGCTGCCTCCCAGGCTGCGTCGCTTGCGGGCCACGAAGCCCAGCGTGACCTTCCGTTGGCCGCTGCAGTTGCCTTTTTCTTCGAGGCCCCGACGGCAGGGGGTGCCCGGCTCGGGCGATGGCCAGGGGCGGCGGGCGAGGCCAGCGATGCGGCGCAGGACGCGCCCCGCGAGTGGGGGGCTCGGCTCCTGCCGGCTCTGCCGCCCTGGCGCGGGCGCCACGCTGCGGCATGCCGTGAGGGAGGTGGGGTGGGCGCTTTTGGGATCGGGCTCTGCCGCAGAGGACGTGGCTGACCGGCGTGCGTCCGTGTGGGCCCTCCCGGATGCAGAGAGGGGAGTCTTCCGCCTCGCGCACGGGGGCGCTGGCAGGACATGGGCCAAGGCTTCCCTCGCCCTCCTTCCTCGTCCAGTGGGGTCTGCTGGACTGACCCGCGCAGCTGGTGTCGCACGAGGGGAGCGTGCTGGTGACCCACAGGGCAGACGTACGTGATCGAGCGCATGCCAGGCGCCTTGCCACGTGGCCTGAGGCTGCCGCGCAGCACATGCTTCCGCTCCCGTACGTCGCGCAGCGCCGGGTGATGTCCCAGGACGTCCGCGGGGCCTTGGGCTCCAGCTTCGGCTTTGACAAGCTGGTGGCGCAGCGTGCTGAGTGGTGGCTTCCTGTCGCTGAGCCACGTGCAGGGCCAGCCATCGTGGGCCTGGAGGCGGTCAAGCGTCCTCTGCGGCGCAGTGCAGCCCAGCCCGCCTTTCCATGTACCGTCGTCATGCACAGCTACGGCCTCTGGTCGAGAGGCTTTCTGGTTGGCCTGAGTCTCGCCGCAGGAAGCCTGGGCACGGAAGGGCGCAGCGGTCAGGAGTTGCTGCAGCTGGCCACGGAGGTGCAGCAGCCCGGGTGTTCTTTACGGGGGTCCTTTCCTTCACCCCTTGTTCAGGTCACCCCCCATTACCACCCGCCCGACCAGAGCGCTCTCCTATCCTCCCCTGCCTGCCCCCCCCCCTCCCCCCTCCCTCTCCTCCCCCTCCCTCTCCTCCTCCTCCCCTCTCCGCCTCCTCCCTGCTGCTGGGCCTCCGCCTGCTGCGCGGCTAAACGTAGCACAAGCTTCGGAGGCCCATGCAGTTTTCTCGGATCAGTGCCTGCACGCAGTCTGCGTCGCCTCGGGCGCCACTCTCGCGCGCTCCGCGCGCAGGGCTTGGAGGCGCTCTCCCCGGATCCAGGAGAATGCCGCGCGGATGTCCGAAAGATCATGTTTCTGATGCCGTTTCTTCGTCTGGCCTCCCCCTCTCCTTTGCCAGCGTTTCCAGCTGAATCCTTCTGTGCCTTGCTGCTCCTCGCTCTTCTCCCGTCTCCGTGGTCGTCGCCGTCACCCTCGCTGCTGGCCGATTCGTTGCCTCCCCGTCGTCGAGGTCGCTGTTGTCGGGCTGTCGCTGCCTCCCGCGGGAGGGCTCTGATCCTAATTGTTGTTCGCACAGGCTGGCACCTGCGTGGTTCAGTGCGTGGTGCTTCGCCACGCTGGGCCAGGGCCGGGCAGAGCCCCCTGCGTCGAGCCCTGCGGGCTCCCGCCTGGAGCCTTCCCCTCTCGCGTGCTCGGCTGCGATCGCCTGCGCGTGCCCTGGGAGGCTGTCGGACCAGTCCGGCCTCCCCGAGGGCCTTCTCGCCTAGGGGTCCTTGGGGTGCGGATTCTATGCGGGGTGTGTGGTTGGTCGGGGCTGGTTGGTGGATGCATTGTCTTGCATTGTCTTCTCGGCATCAGTGCCAAAGTGTCGACGGTCGGCAAGGCATCTCTGTATAATAGTGTTTTGCTCGAACTCGCTGAGCAAGCAAGGGTACAGCCAAGGTTGCAGAGTCTTGGCCGAGCAAAAAAACATCTTCGCCAGAGCGTGGGTGTTGCCAATTCCCCGATGGCAGTCCTGGCGCCCAGGGAGCTGGCTTGGGTCCACATCTCGGCAGCCGACACATGTGTTCATTTTGAGTTGGTCTCTCTAAGTTCGTTGCGTGGCTGTTCCGTCTCGGACCCGCGGGGACCCCTCCTCCTTCCTGCCCTCGGGCGCAAGTCGACGGCCGGGCTGGGGTCAGGCTTGAGCATCTTGGCGTGAGGGGCAACGATAGGGGGGAATTGGCATAGGAGGGATGCATCGACCCCCGACGGACCATCGATCGCCGACAGGGGCCCAACAGCCCGTACCTGCTCAGGAACGTGCGGATTCACTATTTGGGGCGTATCGCCGATCTGTCGGCGATGCATCGCCGATTGCAGGCCGATGCGTCCCCCCACTGTGCCAGCCCCTCCCCTGCCGTCGCCCCCCATTTTTCGTCGCCCTCCTCCCCGCTGTCCCGGCAAAGAGGCCCTCCTCACGGACTCGCGATCGACGCGCAGAGGTCCACCCAACCAGCTCCTCTGCCCGCTCTCCTGCCGCCTGCGCCCCCCCCCCCCCCCTCCCCGACGATCCCCCGTGGCACCCTGCCTCCGCAGAGGGCCATACCCCCCCGTCCTGGGCCCTGGGGCCCGCCGCCCGCTCGCACGTTCAGTCCTGTCCGTGGCACGGGGCCCGTGCCAATGCCTTGGCATCGCTCGGACGTGTGCATTTTTTCTTCGGTGGGGACCATCGAGGAGCATCCTTGATAATTTGGCGAAACAACCACGCACGAAACCGAAATAAGCACAGGGAATGGACGTCCGAACGATGGCGAGATGCAGCTTCACGTGTCACGTTGTGGACTGCAGTAGGGCGGTGTCGTGTAGGATTCGTGGTGGTCTGATGTGCGTGTGCTGACGCACCCGGAGGCGTGCTGCCGACACGCACGTCCCCACATCTCTTTCCGCCGCGGCGAGCGCCCCCTCTCGAATGCTCTTTGCGTGGTTCTGGTGGGCCAGAAGCCCACGGGTCCGGAAGGCTTCGGCGCACAGACTTTCCAGCGTCCTGCAGGTTCGGACGTTGGGGCGTCCACAATGGGCCTTGATTGGCAGGTCGGCCCTGCCGACTCCAGGGTACCCTTGTGTCATGTGGCTCGCGACCCATGCCTCCTACATTCCTATGGCACTGTGGCCCTCAGAAGGGTCTTGTGTCCTCTCGCGCGTCCTGTCCAATCAAGTCCGACTGTATGCACCAAGCTCCTTGCCCGACGAGCCGATTCAGTGCATACGTCGAGACCCCCCCGTCCACGCTCCCTCTTCGTCTCCGCACCTCCCGTCGCCAGACGCAGCACCCGTGGGGCCGCAACTGGGACGGCGAGGAGGAGCGCGCGCGCGCCCACAGCACACCCCTGCGGCTGTGTCAGGGGCTCTTCTCTTGTACCTGGGCGCAGTCGTCTTCGTAGAGTCGGGCCGAGGGACACGATCGAGGTTGATTCGGGGAGGGTACCCCAGTGTTTTTAGCATCTGTCGGATGTCCTTCTGCACCCTGGGGGGACCCGTGGATGTTCTGCTGCTTGCTTTGGCCGGCTGCGGAGGGTCGAATGTTCTTGAAGGATGTTATTCTGGCCTAGGTCCGACTTTACGCTGGGATCTTTGCGTCGCATGTTTTCGCGCTGGGCGATTTTGTTTTGGGCACTCGGACCATCATGGATCGATCCGAATCGAAGTTCATACGAGTCCGAGATCGGCACACGGGGAAGCCCAAGACTGGCGAAGGCTGTTCCGAAACATCCCCGGCGGAGGGTCCAGTGTCCCAGGGCGATACCGTTGCGGCTCTGACCCCACGGAGGCTCGCTTCTTGCGCAAGAGCCCTCCACGTTGTCCTATCCCAGGGCCTCTTCTATACCCTCCTCGCCGTCCCTGGCAGGCAAACATTCGTAATTCCCAATCAGTGCTTGCACTGACCGGGTCCTAGCGGAGATTTGAAGTACTGGGCCGCTTTCGGTGAGCGGCCGGGCTCCGGATTCCTGGTTCCCGGGTTCCCAGCTCCGGGTTATTGGTCGCTCCGTCGATCGGTATCACTCACCATCGATTTGAGCACCCACATCTCATAGCACGATCTCACGATCGATTGTATTATGGGTCTGATGAATCGACTGCACTCAGTCTATCGACCTTACAATCGTCCTCACGATCGATTATTTTATCGATCTCATTATCGATCTCTCAATAGATCGCAATATCCACATCACTAGTTTTCGAACCATCACCTGATTGTGGTTGTTATTTGGCGTGGTTTGTGACAATATCCACATGCACTTGCCTCTTCGATGTGCCCCGCGTCAGACGACGGACGACCCCAGACGGCCAGAAACGTCCCCAGACAAAAAACGCCCCACGGCGACCTCTAGCTGGCTTCCAGACGCAGGATGGAAACCCGAACGGAGGCGAAGGAGGATCGGAAACGGCGGAGGAGGACAACATGGAGGAGGAGGAGGAGGAGGAGGAGGAGGAGGAGGAAAAGGAAAGGATGAGGAGGAGGAGGAGGAGGACAGCGACGAGGAAGAGGAGAAAGAGGAGATGAGGAAGAGGAAGAGGAGGAGGCAGGGGGCACGGGGCTCAGGGCGTAGGCCAGGGGGTGGAGAGATCGGACGGACGTTAGAGATGAGCACGACTAGAGGGGAGGAAAGGAACGCGGCTGGCGCACAGTCTTGTGTCGGCCGAGGTTGCCCTCGCTGTGATGCCTTCGGCGCCTGCTTAATGCCAGCGCGTTGTTCCTGCACGGGCCTCCCGCAAGGCCCGCCTCACTCGTGGGAAATTGCGCTGGGGGGTGGGGCGCTTTGACGCGCGGACCGAGGGAAATCGCTCCAGATCGTTCCGGAACGCCCTTGGAGCGTTTCGCGGCCAGGGCGGCCAGTAGCATATTCTCCCAAACCGCCTGAATTCCGAGGTCCCCGACGTATCGGGGTCTGGTTCTGCCCCAGATCAGGTGCCGTCTTACATCTTACAGTCAAGACTCGAAGACCGCTGACCACATCCACCTCTGGATCCTCGATTCTATGATAGGCCCTCGGGGGTGGAAGTGGGTAGTTTTTCCTTCCCCTGGGGCGGGGAAACTGCCCACCTCCACCTCTGGAAACCGCTTTTCGCCAGGCACCTCGGGAAGTGGATGTGGTCAGAAATCGGTCTCCTAAAGACGCTGCGATGAGACCCCGCGCCGCGGCGCGCGCAGGACCAGCCGGGCGACGCGCTCGCGGCGTCGCACGGGCCGCCCGGGCTCGAGGCGGCCGGCGGGGGTTGCCGGGGGGGAGCGAGGCGCAGGGCTCCCTGGGGGGGGGGGAGCGGGGGGTCGATCTAGACCTTTTAGATGGTCAAACGACGCGAAGATCGGGACAAAATCGGATCGGGATAACTCGAAATCTCTGAATCGGCGGGTTTGGAGGATGTATTGGGCGCCGCGGCCGCTCCAGAGCGTTCAGGAACGCTCTGAGAGCGCTCCAGAACGCTCTGGAGCGATTTATCCCGATCCTAGCCCTGTTTTAGATGGGGTTCGAGTAGATGGGGTCGGAGGATCGCGCCGCATCGCCGATGTATCGACGATGCGGCTCGATGCGGAGCCCGCAGTTCTCCACGCCAGCGTTGCCGATAAATCGTTGGCGTCGCCGATGCATCGCTGATGCATCGGCGATGCATTGCCGATGCATTGACGATGTGGTGCGATCCTCCGACCCCATCTGCTCGGACCCCATCTAGGAGGCCTCTAGTCGACCTGGGTGCACGCCGGTCGTCGTTGGAAGTCTCTTATCGATGATCCTCAGGACGTGTGTTAGTCCAATGTCAGGCGATCGCAGACATGCAAGAGATGCAAGACATAGAGACGCCAGCAAGTTACCCGCAAGCGCCCTGATGATAAAGAGAGAGAGCCCCATCCACTTACCCGACCGCGCGTCGGTGCCTGGACCTCCAGCTCCGTCAGCGTGCCGAAATAGAAGACGCACGCGGCGGGGGGGAAGGCGACACGACGACGACGGGGGGGACGGGGCCAACAAAACTACTCCTGGGGGACATCCCCAGAGAGATTCAAACCAGACTTCGGGTGCAGGCCCTCGCGGATATTCGCAAGAGACTTCCTCACCCAACCAGGCAGCACACCCGAGCTCGGGGGCTTACACACCGAACGCAGCCTGGGCCCCAACCTCTGAGCACAATACGACCCGCACGCCGTGCAGAAGATATATGGGCCAGCACGCTCCATCACGTGCCCAAGAGAAGTGAAAATCTGAAACTCACACTCCCCATCCCCCACCCCCAGGCCTGGGCTCCGAGACCGATCCAGACCCAGGCACAACAGAGCAAGACGCGGGCTCGGCCCCAGGAACCTCGGGCCCCAGGACCACACGAGCGCCAAACATCGCAGACTGGACCGCCTCTGGCCTGGCAAGGGGGGTCGCAGGGGCATACAATCCACCTTTGGAAAACGCAAGGCGGGCACGCTCACGCTGCAAAGGGGAGGGGTTACATTCTCGCCCACTGCCTTGATTAAGCCATCTACGCGAAGCCTCCGTTTTCGCCCTGGCCAGGCAGGAGCGACAGACCAGGAACTCACCAACACACCAGAAATCATGCTCCTGGAAACGGAGGAGGGGGGGCGCGCGGAGGAACCGTGGCCTAGGGATGTCCATCTCCTGAAGGGCCTCCAGCTGTCCACCCACGACCTCCTTATGCGCAGCATGCTGGGCAGCAGCCCACCCAAAAAAACTGGCGTTGTTCCTGCCAATGGCAAGCTGATCAGACCAGTAATCAACGAAGGAATCAGCGACCTTATGCGAGCAGGCCCCCAACTTGGCGAAAAAGTCCGCCCACATATTGCCAAACCACCAAGGCACGGGCCATCGTCCTCGCTCGAGAAACTCCTCAAGAGAGAGATGAGCAGGCACCCATTCATACATGGGAGCCTTCGGGTGATCCCTTCCCTGAGCGACGCTAAAAATTTGCCTCCAGATATCAGCATGGGCGGCCGTGGCAGACGCATGTTCAGAAGACCATTCAACCCCCTCACGCACAGCCCCAAGGAGGTCCGAGACAGACAGCACTAAACGCGGCAACAACTGGAGCCCCCGCAAGAGCGCGTGTCTTTCAGCTCGGCCAACCGACTGGATGGGGCCTGGGAGCGGACCATAGGCCGCACGAACTGGGAGTCCAAACTCTCCCATCTGAGCAGCCGACCATCCGCAACGCCTGAATTCTGGCCAGGCGCTGTGCATCCCAGATCCATCAAAGAAGGCAGTTGGGCCCCATCCCTCAGGCTTCGACCCCCAGTCCCCCCCAGAAGAAGGTGGGAGGCTCAGAGGACGGAGGGGGGAGATCAGGAGGAGCCTGGGGGAGCCCAATACAAAACTTAAGCAGGTGAAAACTGTCCTGTCCCAAGGCATTGACTCCCTCCTCAGACAGGCGATCACGCGTTTTTCCATCTCCTCAGACCAGGCTGGCAGACCGCCAGCATCATTCTGCTCAAGCAAATTCGGGCATGCGTACCACAGATGACCAAGATCCCCAACAGCACGTTGTCTGCGACAGTCAGGATGTGGGCAGTGTGGCGTAGGCAACCATCCACGTTGATGCCGCTTCTGCACCGTCATGAAGCCACCAGCCCACAGGCAACGAAGAGCTCCCGCAACCCGTGCATTCTTGATAGTGGCTGCCTTACCACCAACGGTGAGGTGCACCGCTCGCATCCACAACGACTCGCCTCCCTCCAAGTGTTCGGCATGATGCTCCAGAATCCTCCGACCTTGCCACCGTTGAACTCCAAGGCGCAACAACTTCCGAACATCTTTGGGAGGCATCTTTAACAGCGAAATCACCATGCCCGTGTCACTGACAATCAGCGTGCTACTAGCCATCTCCCAGCCTACTCTTCGCAAAGACAGCCAGGTCGCAGCTATCGGTCCTCGAACCCCTTGCCAGCCTGGATCACGCCCATGCCACAGGTCTAGGAGTACACGCCACGCCCGCTCGAGCTTGCCCATGTCCATCCTCATGTCGAACACGAAATAACTGCACATATACACCATGTTGAGCGTCGCGTCGAAGATCGGGCCCATGTACAGGTCACGCTGGGACACCAAGTAGGCCGTGACACTGACCCCTTTGGCGTGAAACCCAGCGATGACTCCAGCCGCCTGCCTGAGCTGCCTCAGGTCGCTGCCGGGGACGCCCGGGACCGAGCTGCCGTGCGCAGCCCCTTCCAGCAACCCAGACCGCCAGATGGCCCCCACTTGGGGGCCAGCAGCCTTCTGGAGCACCTTGACGCGCCTCATTCGTTTCTGCATCTTATCCAGACGTCCCTTCGCAACCGTGCGAATCACACGGCCACCAACCATATCATGTCCCAAGTTTCGCATCTGCTTCCTCTGAGTGAGCCTCAGCACTTTGGCCCGCGGAGAAAACTCCTTGAACGCCTCGCGGGTGGTGCCCACATAGCCCGACTTGACAGGCTGAACCAGCAGGTCGAGCCTTCTCATACCACTCTTGAGAATGCGAGTAGCCTTGACCAGCCCGCCCATTTCTTGCAAGTCCTGCCCCACCCACTGCAGGGTTCCATCATCCACTATAGCCCGAGGGTGGATCGTCGGACAAATCTCCTTCACGCTAATCAACGTACGAATCATCAACACCGTCAGCAAAGTCGTGGCGTGAGTGCATCCAGGCAGGATACCGTGCCCCACCTCGCGTAGGACAGACACCGACCCAAACGCTTTCACAGCCCGAGGCATCTTGTAAGAAGTCACCAACTGCCAAAGTAGTCGCAAAGGGTATCCAACTTCCCGAGCCTCACTAAAAAGACTGCTGACCTTGACCGTGACGAAGCACTTCCACATGTCCATCATCACCGTGAGCGAGTGCTCGCCCAGCAGCTTAGACATCTCCGCCATCGCGCTATGCATGAAGGCCGACCCCGACGACGAGTACCCCTTCCTGTTGCCCCAGATCATCTCCGAAGGGGAACTGCTGCAACCATTGCCGTGAAAGCGGTCGTCGGACTCTCGCCCAGACCCGTATCAGCGTGTGAATGAGAGCCACCAGTCGAGTACCTCCTCCTTCTTTTGGAATCATAGCCATCTCGGAGTGGATGCGATTCACTGGCCAGAGAAGCAAGTCCTCGCACTTCATGAAGAAAGCAGCCATGGCCCCCAAAGCCTCACGCGGTAAGAACCACAACGATCTGGGCTGCAGCTTCGACGGGCCCGCTGCCGTCTTCCCCTTGCAAGATAGGATAGCCTGCACCAACATATACGTGGTGATGTAAGGCAGAGAAGGCCAACTGGCACTGTCGGTCGGCAACAGGGTCTCGCTATCCTCATGCACAGTCCACACCTTCAACCACTTTCGCAGTTCACGATCAGCCAGCTCGTGTGGTGATTGCTCATTGCCTGCCTCGATGATCTCCTGGGCCGCCTGTAACCTAGTAAGACGATGCGCACCACTAGCACCTTTCTCAATGGCTGAATCCACGAACCTCTTCCATCGGGCCGTATCACGCTTCTCATGAGCAGACAGCAGGCGATCATGAGCACCTTGGATGTTGGCAAACACCTGGTCAAAATCATCACGCGCCAATAGATCGAAGCAAGATGACGGCAAAAAGAATTCAGAAACCCGTGCAGCTAGGGCTTGCAAAGTGCCATCACAACCACGAACACCATGCATTAAACGAGCGAATTCCACCAGCACCTTCGCCAGCGCGGAATGATCGGCCAGAACGTTCACAATTCTGTTCCCGTCCTGCCAAATAAGAAGCTTGTCTACCAACTTGGCAACGTGCTCCTTGACCCTCCTGCAATGGACAACCCACTTTAGAGCAACCATCCAAGCCCGTAGCTCAGGGCCGTGCTGCAACCGTCGAAGAGGAGGTCGCCACTTGGCCTGTGCCATCTTGGTAAGTAAAGGGCCACCACGTCCAGACGTCGACGAAGCCTTCACTCCATCTACACAATCATAGACGCCCTGCAATTCAATTTCCAGTCCAGCCAGCAACGCGCCCCAAGCCAAGCTCAAGTCGTCGCTGGTTTGAGCATAAAAAACTTGCCGTTCAACCTCACTCCAATCCAATGGAAATCTCTCGCATCCAATGGGCGGCGTCTTCGAGAAGGGAGCTGGCTCCACAACCTGTCGAACCCGTGCTGGCCTGTCTCCAGCTAACGCGGGCAACTCCACAGGTGAATGAACTTTGATATTACTGTCGTCAACCACCTGAGGCCGTAGAACTCGAGTACCCAAGTT